GGCATTTGTAGCTCCTCCAGCACAACTCTATGGTCAATATCTGGCAGAGGTTGACCACAGATTTGCACTGGAAAACCTAGAGGTTTCCAGAGGAGTGTTCTCTCAGGTAAAAACATAATATTTTTGTTATTTGCAGTTTTTCCACATTCACGGGGGTCCTGTGCCCCTAACCCCAGTGAATGTGGAGTGATGAGTGTACTTTGAAATGAGCTTAGAAAGCATCCAGCCGCCAGTGAAGGTATTTCAGAACTGGTGAGAGGCATTCTCCTGGACTGTTCCCAGTCAGCACCTGCCTTTTTGAGCCAGCAATGTTTCTGGGACGTCTTCCAAAACAGCTCTACACGCAAGGGCTTGTGCAGCAATTTCGTTGGGAGGGTGCCATGGCGCAAATCAGCGAGACCTGGCTGTCTCTGTCCAGGAAAGGCAGCAACAGCTGCAACGGCTGAAGCTGGCAAAAAGGGACAATATTGCGGAAGTCACTTGCATCTCTGGGGGCAAAGATGGGTCAAATATATCTCCATCTTCTGGGATATCCTCACCGATAGGCACAATGAAGTGGCAGCCAAAATAGCAGACACTGAGGGGCAGAGAAGGTAAACTTGGAGGACAGAGCTATGCGAGCACCCCATAGCTTGCTTAGGGTTATCAGAATAAAAACAGGAGAGGGCCTCTCTACCTTTAACAGTTGTGTTGAAGAAGGAATTTCAGCTGGTGTTGCTTGTTATCTGGTTGTGTGAAACACAACAACGGCTGAAATTCTCTCTTGTGCATAACCATTAAAGGCAGATGAGCCCCCTCCAGTTTTCCCATTGGCAACCCTAGACCTGCCCTGCGTGTGTCCCTAAGATATTGCTTTGTGGCAGCAGAAAGATGATGTCAAAATTCATCTGCCATCTTATATTCTAACATCCTGTTTATTTATTGAAGACATTTGTCCATCATCTCTCAACCCACCAATGGCTAAAAACATATAAAATATTAAATTTGTTGTTAACTTATTTCGTGTCGGTCTCGACCCATAGCAACCCTATGGATGAGACATCTCCAGGCCCCCCTGTCCTCTCCTGCTCTGCCCAGCTCCTGCAAACTCTTATTCATGGCCTCTTTAATAAAGTCCATCCATCTGGCATGGGGCTTTCCTCTCTTTCTACTTCCCTCCACCTTTCCTAACATTATTGTCTTTTCCAGTGATCCATGCCTTCTCATGATGTGTCCAAAGTACGACAGTCTAAGTCTTGTCATCTTGGTTTGATCTGCTCTAGGACCCATTTGTTTGTCCTTTTGGCTGTCCATGGGATCCTCAGCACTCTTCTCCAGCCCCACATTCTCTCAAATGCATTGAATTTCCTCCTAAAACATTTTAAAAGGGACTGAAACACCTGTTTAAAAATGGGTTTTAAACCCCAGAACTCTGAATGACATTCTATTTGAGCTTCATGCAGAATGACAAGTATATGCCAACTTCTCTTTTGCCTCAGACAGCTGAGTATCTTGAGTCAACTCTGTTCAGGTTGCTCATACATCCCTCTCTTCTCACCTGGCACCTTCCTTGCGGATATCACACTTTTTGCTAACTCCATTAGGTGCTGTATGGAGCTGGAAGGACGGTATGTCAGTGTTTTGTATAAATATGACCATAACGAATTACAGTGCTCCCTCCACATTCACTGGGGTTAGGGGCACAGGACCCCTGTGAAAGTGGAAAAGCCTCAAATAACAAAAATATTATGTTTTTACCTGAGAGAACACCTCTCTGGGAATATCTAGGTCCTCCAGTGCACTTCTGTTGTCAATATCTGCTGGACTGACCATAGAATTGCACTAGTAGAGCTACAAATGCCTAGTGGAGTGTTCTCTCTAGGAATTTCTAGGTCCTTCAGTGTGACTTTTGGCTAAAGTTGACCACAGAATTGTACCGGAGGAGCTACAAATGCCTAGTGGTGTTCTCTCTTGGAATCTCTAGCTGTCCTTTGGTGCGACTTTTGGTTAAAGTTGACCATAGAATTGCACTGGAGGAGCTACAAATGCCTAGTGGAGGCTTCTCTCTAGGAATCTATAGGTCCAGTGCAACTTTTGGTTAATGTTGACCATAGAGTTGCACTGGAGGACCTAGATATTCCTAGAGAAAACATATTAATACAATCCGTGAACAATCAAATCCGCAAAGGTTAAATTTGCAAATGTGGAGGGGCGACGGTACGATCAAGCTGTTTAAATACAATCCTTGGACCAACAGATTAGGTCCCTGTACCTGGATGGATCTGTATAGGTACATTATAAAATTAAACAGAACGGGCACCTCCTCTCTCTCATTCATCCCACCTGAGTTATGCTTTATGGAGGTGATTTTTTTCCCACAGATAGTGAAGTCCATTTATTTGGGGAGGAACCAAAGTTCAATGGGAAAGCACCTGTTTTGTGTGCAAATTGTCCAAAGTTCAGTCTCCGGCAGGGGCATCTCTGAGTTACAAAGGCTGCAAGGAAAGAATGGGTTCCCTGTCTGGATGCTGTGAGTAGGGTTAAAGTAGACCATAGAGTTGCACTGGAGAAGCTACAAATGCCTAGTGAAGACTTCTCTCTAGGAATCTCTAGGTCCTTCAATGAGACTTTTGGTTAAAGTTGATCATAGAATTGCACTGGAGGAGCTACATCCTCACATCATCATCTCCTCCTCTTCCTCCTCCCATAATCTCAAGATTGCCCACACATTTTAGAAATTAACCAGAGGCCAACATCTGTGTGTATATTAATTTGTTTGAACGTGTTCAAAACCAGTACAGTATCAGATGTTATACATGTATAAAAGTATTTCCACCACAAGAGCAATTGCCCTTCTCTACGAATCACTGAGAGCTTCCTCCCATTTCTTTTCCCTTGACAGACAACCATCATGGCTGTGGAATTTGACGGAGGGGTTGTGGTGGGCTCCGACTCACGAGTCTCTGCAGGGTAAGGACTCTGTATGCATTTTTCTTTCTCTCTATGTGTGTGTGTAGGTATCCGAGTAAACAGAAGGAAGGGACGTCACACATTTAATCACTCCTTCGTCCAAGGTGGAGGGATCACAGTGGAAAATGTATCAGTGAACGCCCACTATAAAAGCCATTGTGGTGTAGTGGTTGGGCTGCTGGACTAGGACTCTAGAGACCAGGGTTCAAATCCCCACTCGGCCATAAAATCTACTGGGTGACCTTGGACAAGTCACACACTCTCAGCCTCAGGAAGGCTGAGGAACCTTCTCTGGATAAATCTTAGCTATAAAACCCCATGATAAGTTTACCATAAGTTGGAAATGACTTGTAGGCACATAGTAACAACTTGTGGGATCAGATTGCCCAAAGGAGGAGGAGGAGGAGGAGGAGGAGGAGGAGGAGGAGGAGAAGAAGAAGAAGAAGAAGAAGAAGAAGAAGAAGAAGAAGAAGAAGAAAATCTACCTTCTCCTACATACTGAAGACAATTTGTCTTCAGAAGCACTGTTCCCAGTGCTTTCTAAGAATGAAGTAAGGCTAGTGGGAAGAGCAGGGCATTTTCAGTGGTGGCACCTCAGCTGTGAAACACTGTCCCCAGAGAGGCTCATCTGGACCCTTCTTTGTGATTCTTTTAGCATCAGATAAAAAAAAAGATTTAAATGAATGATTTGGTGAATTATGGTATGATGTATGATGAATAACCAAAAATGGATGTTTTCTGGATTAAGCCAGTGAGGTGCCTGGTGCTGATCCTAGTGTTCTAGCTCCCTTTCCTTCTTTCATTTGGGGTCAAACTGGGGCTTTCAAAGTCTTACTGTGCTTTCTCCAGGGAGTCCGTGGTGAACCGGGTCTTCAACAAGCTAGAGCCCCTCCATCACAAGATTTACTGTGCACTCTCTGGGTCGGCGGCTGATGCCCAGGCGATTGCGGACATGGTGAACTACCAGCTGGAGCTCCACAGGTGAGGAAGGGCAGGTGAGCATGGGCAGACTCTGGTCCTGGCTGTGGCCACAAACACAGAGGAAGCCACACATCGGAAGGAAGCAGTCTTCTTATAATAAGAACAACCACAACACGTGTGGTACTGCAAAAAAGTACGATTGTTGTGGCATTAACTTTTACTGCAAGAGACCACATTGCCAGGTGCGAAAGAGAGTAGATATACTGAGAAGAAAAAGAAAAAAGGGGCATAAGAAGAACATATAGTGAATGCATTCTATGAGTACGCACAGCACAAATGAATATAAGACCTATTCAGTATGAATGGGGCTCATGGATGACCACGGATGAATCTGCAATGTAAGAGCAGTGTAAGTTAATACAGTATAAATAAACATAAATAAACACAGTACCTTTTTGCAATGAGCAAGTCACTTCTAGTCTCCATTGAATCCAAGATCTGCAAAGTCAAATTTACTAAAGGGGGTTGCAGACTGCCAGAAATAGTGCAAATTGAGTCCACGTTAGGGTTAGTGCTAGGGAATCATGGGAATTGTTTTTTTTCCCCTGAGACATTGAGCCTTCTCTGTCAGAGAGCTCTGGTGCCACAATAAAATACAGTTCCCATGATTCCCTAACCCTAACCCTAACCCCCAAAGTGGACTCAATTTGCACTATTTCTGGCAGTCTGCAGCAATAGCTTCATGCAGAGACTTCTTTTAAGAACGTTTTCTTTGGGACAGAGTGACTTACAGGTCTGCTATGGAATTTGCTGGGAATCTGAAATGCAACCTAAGCCTAGGAATGTTTACCAACCGCCAGAGCAGAACAGGCAAGTTTTGGAGTTTGACTGCGGCTGTCGTAGAGATGAAGTGAGAGAGAAAAATTGTGTTCTGCTGTCCAGAAGGGAGGAACTGAGCCAGCAGATTCAAGTTACAAGAGGGGAGATTTTACCTAAATGTTAAGAACAATTTCCAATTGGTACAAGCTTTCTCACAGTGGAACAGGTAGCTTTGGAAAGTGCTGGGCTGTCTTTTGGTTGACATTTTAAAACAAACGCTGCATGACTACTTATCAAGACATCATGCATGAGTAGAAGGTTGGACTAGATTATCTTTGAGGTACCCCTGTAATTTTATGGCGACTTGTTTTATGGGTCAACCTTGCATTTATAGCAAGGATGGGCAAATATTTTGGTATTGACTACGCTGGTGAAGGCTGCTGGCACTTGCAGTCCAACAACACCTGGATGGCCACACAATTCCTAACCCTTATTTGTAGAATGAAAGTTACCATACAGCTCTGACTCGATTAATTAAGAATCCATCACAGATTCATTAATAGTTTTTTTCCCCCAGTTTGAAAACACAAAAGTTTTTGCCCAAAGTATAGAGTCTTAACGAACACAGCAAAATAAACCATTCCTAACCAAATTGTGGGAAACAGAAGCAACTGTCCTTTCAGGGTTGCCATCTTTCCACCTCATGGTTGTTCCTATGCCTTTAATGGCAAGATATTGCTAGCATGACATTTGCTGGCAGGAAAGCTTCATCTGCTGGCTGAAGATAGCCAGAGGAAAAGAAAATGACTCTCCTAGTTCTTAAATAGTTGTGTGATGAAGACATTTCAGCAAGAATAGCCTTCATGAGAAACCCATTCTCCTCCATAACTATTAAAGCCACAAGAACTGTGTTCCTTTATGCATCTGGCATCCCAGCACTGAATTTTGCAGGCGAAGATCATTGATCTGGTGATGGATTATGGCCCACTACTGGGTTACAGCCTGAGCTAAGGTGGGATACAGTAATACCAGCAAAATTGTTAAAAGGCAGGTTAGAAATAATTAATTAAGAAGTAGATCCTCAGATTTATGTTTGGATCAAAGGTGGATCTGAGAAGGTTGAAGACTAGGCATTTAAAACAGAAAGTTTTTAAAGAACGGGCTGGGTGTTGTGTATTGTTTTAAGGCGTTTAAAACACTTTTAAACTTTTTAAACTGTATTTTATTCTTTTAACAAGCAACCTGTTTTAATATTGTCATAATTTAATTCTGTTTTAATGTATCACTTTTGTATGCTTTTAATTGTACTGTTCTTTTAATATTGTGAGCCTCCCTTAGTCCTAGTTTTGGGATAAAGAGTGGGATACAAATAAATATAATAGTAGTAGTAGTAGTAGTAGTACCACCGTGTTTCCACGAAAATAAGACACTCTCTTATATTTATATTTTATATTTTATATTTATATTTTACATTAAGCTCTTATATTTTTCTCAAGAAGACACAGTATGGCTTATTTTCAGGGGATGTCTTGTTTGTCCCGATTCCACCCTGACGCCGTGCGCCCGTCCGCAGGGCATGTGGCGTCAGAGTGCCCTCTTGGTGTAGCATGCATACATGCTGCGCCAAAAGGGCGCAAAAGAGCCACCGCCGCGGCTCAAAGGGCAGCTTTTTGCCACCCCCCAAAGGAGCGGCCCTTTGAGCCACTCTTTCAGGGGCGGCAAAAGGGAGGATTGTGGCCACAACCCTTTGAGTTACAGCGGCGGCTCTTTTCTGGACCGCCGCTCCCAGGGGCAGCCCAGAAAAGAGCCGCAGCTGCGCCTCAAAGGCCAGCTTTTTGCCACTCCCAAAAGGAGTGGCCCTTTGAGCCACTCTTTCGGGGGTGGCAAAAAGGAGGACCAGGGCTTCAGCATGTGGTTTCCATGGCCCCGATCCGCCGCTCCCAGGGGTGGCTTAGAAAAGCCACCCCATCTGCATCGGCGCTATGTCTTATTTTCGGGGTATTGCGCAAATGCTTACAAATCCTGCTATGGCTTATTTTATGGGTATGTCTTATTTTCAGGGAAACACGGTAGTGGTAGTAGTAGTAATCTACAGAGGTGCACTAGGGGTGAATGGGGGGTGCTGACCATTCTGGGTGGCCTGTCTTGGGGAGGGTGGCAGCTGGGGTGTGTGCCAAGGATCCTGAGTTACCGCACAAAGATGACACCAGTCCTAGTGGCATCACTGGTAACCCTCCACATCTGACAACTCTAAGGCCTCTGTTTCTGCACCTCTTAAGGAGGACACACAAATAAAGGGGGAAGGAAGTACTAATGCAGATACAATTGCAGAGGGAAAGACTGGTTCTGGGGAGACTTTTTTCTAGTGGTGAAAGAGCGCCCTCTGGTGGCCACAGTGGAACAGGATGCTTCCCTTTTGTCGCCTGATTTCCCAGAAAAGGCAGTGCCATGCTAGCTTGGCTGTTCATGGGTTTGGTATTGTTGGATGTTAAATAAAGGGCCAATGGGGTTCTTGTTGTAAAGGTGGAACTGGGAATTCCCCTGATCTGTAACAAAGCAGGCCTTTTGGCAATGGCTGGCAAGACAAAGAGCACAGTCTTTCTGAGCCAAGCCCAATTTACCATGATTTATCTCCAGCTCTGTTGCAGTATGAGTTTCCGCTTCCCCCAGGTTTGCTGTTTTTAAGTCACATTGCCTTATAGGTACATTTTCAATGCCCTCATGTATCTACTCATAAATAAGTCCCAACTAAGTTCAATAAGATGCAGAGTGCATCCACACTGCAGAAATAATCCAGTTTCATAGAATCATAGATTTGGAATAGACCAAAAGAGCCATCCAGTCCAACCTCCTGCCATGCAGGAACTCACAATCAAAGCATCCCCAATAGATGGCCACCTAGCTTCTGTTTAAAGACCTCCAAAGAAGGAGACTCCATTAGACTCTGAGGGAGTGTCTTCCACTGTTGAACACCTCTCACTGTCAGGAAGTTGTTCCCAATGTTGAGATGGAATCTCTTTTCCTGTCACTTGCATCCATTATTTTGGTCCTATTCTCTGGAGCAGCAGAAAACAAGCTTGTTCCATCCTTTATAAGATATCCCTTCAAATATTTGAACAGGGCTATCATATCGCCTCTTAATTGAAATGTAAGGTACTGCACTTAGGGCAAAAAAATGAAATGCATAGATATAAGATGGGGCACAACTGGCTTAATACGAATATGGACCTTATCACACGGGGACCAAACCAGACAGAAT